AACTGAACTAGAACTGAACTAGAACTGAACTAGAACTGAACTAGAACTGAACTAGAACTGAACTAGAACTGAACTAGAACTGAACTAGAACTGAACTAGAACTGAACTAGAACTGAACTAGAACTGAACTAGAACTGAACTAGAATGAACTAGAACTGAACTAGAACTGAACTAGAACTGAACTAGACTGAACTAGAACTGAACTAGAACTGAACTAGAACTGAACTAGAACTGAACTAGAACTGAACTAGAACTGAACTAGAACTGAACTAGAAACTGAACTAAACTGAACTAGAACTGAACTAGAACTGAACTAGAACTGAACTAGAACTGAACTAGAACTGAACTAGAACTGAACTAGAACTGAACTAGAACTGAACTAGAACTGAACTAGAACTGAACTAGAACTGAACTAGAACTGAACTGAACTGAACTAGAACTGAACTAGAACTGAATAGAACTGAACTAGAATGAACTAGAACTGAACTAGAACTGAACTAGAACTGAACTAGAACTGAACTAGAACTGAACTAGAACTGAACTAGAACTGAACTAGAACTGAACTAGAACTGAACTAGAACTGAACTAGAACTGAACTAGAACTGAACTAGAATGAACTAGAACTGAACTAGAACTGAACTAGAACTGAACTAGAATGAACTAGAACTGAACTAGAACTGAACTAGAACTGAACTAGAACTGAACTAGAACTGAACTAGAACTGAACTAGAACTGAACTAGAACCTGAACTAGAACTGAACTAGAAACTGAACTAGAACTGAACTAGAACTGAACTATACTGAACTAGAACTGAACTAGAACTGAACTAGAACTGAACTAGAACTGAAACTAGAACTGAACTAGATCTGCACTAGAACTGAACTAGAACTGAACTAGAACTGAACTAGAACTGAACTAGATCTGCACTAGAACTGAACTAGAACTAGAACTAGAACTGAACTATAACTAAACTAGAACTGACTAGAAACTGAACTAGAAACTGAACTGGAACTGAACTAGAACTGAAACTAGACTGAAACTAGAAACTGAACTAGAACTGAACTAGAACTGACTAGAACTGAACTAGAACTGAACTAGAACTGAACTAGAACTGAACTAGAACTTGAACTAGAACTGAACTATGAACTGAATAGAACTGAACTAGAACTGAACTAGAACTGAACTAGACTGAACTAGAACTGGAACTAGAACTAGAACTGAACTAGAACTGAACTAAATGAACTAGAACTGAACAAGAACTGAACTAGAACTGAACTAGAACTGAACTAGAACTGACCTAGAACTGAACTAGAAAATAGAATTTTTTTAGAGAAGATCCGAAATTCTTTTTTACGAGAAAGAATTTTAGAAATGTTCAAAAAGGAAGTTGTTTTTAATTTATCGAAGATTTAGAAGCATTTTCGAAATATCTCTTTTATAGAAAATTTTTGAAAATGTCCTTTTTACAGAAAAATTTTCCCAAGCGAAATGTTTTTCCTTTTGCTTCATTAAATATCGCATCGGTTTATGTATACAAATAAATATATTTATGTACTTTTGTTTTTAACAAAAAATCTCTTTTTGCAACTGACCGGGTTTATTATAATGACAACATAAATATCATCAACAACAATACGGGCATTAAACAAAAACTACATACAACTGCAACAGCGGCAGCATTAGCAAAAAAAAAAAAATCGTAAACAAAACGTCACGTTAAATGGGTCACACGATACACGAAACTCATCACTGGGTGCAACATAAACGACTGAACTGCACAACACTGAATGCAACAAACAATTCAGGACAGTACAGCAGTCTGGACTGTGCAACAGAAACATGAAAAATAAAAGATAAAAAAATAAAATAATTTAAATAAAAAACAAAAACAAGAATGAACAAAATACATTCATCCATATTTAATGATATTTTCATTATCATATTGTACGAGTTGTAGTAGTGGTTGTTTTTGTTGTTTTTTAATGATAATAATATTTAAATTCTGAAAATTGCATTTAATTTATTTTATTGTGTAATATTAAATATTGATACATTGATATTTTAATACAATATTAAAGACACACACACAAACTCACATACAAATAATCTGTAATACAGACAAACTTCCATTTACGCATCCATACATATTTAATAATAATTTTTGTAAAAAAAAAAACACAACCGTAATGTGTTTCAATTATGGCAAAGTTTAAAGAATTTATAAAGGGATTTATTGAAATAAAAACCTATCAATTTCAATGCAGATTATAGAATAATATAATGCTTTTAGTGTTTAAATATAATGTAAAAGGCTGAAGGATAATAAAAAAGCCTATTACAACTTTCGTATACCAAAACTTTAATTGGTTTAATTAAAATTTTAATTGATATTTTTATAATAAAATTATTGTGTATTGGAAGTAATTGGATAAAGGTTATACAAATTCCTAGGAAAGAATAATATTCACTGGAAAGAGTTTCCAGTTTCACTAGAACTAACTGAACTAGAACTGAACTAGAACTGAACTAGAACTGAACTAGAACTGAACTAGAACTGAACTAGAACTGAACTAGAAGACTGAACTAGAACTGAACTAGAACTGAACTAGAACTGACTAAAAGGAACTAGAACTGAACTGAACTAGAACTGAACTAGAACTGAACTAGAACTGAACTAGAACTGAACTAGAACTGAACTAGAACTGAACTAGAACTGAACTAGAACTGAACTAGAACTGAAGTAGAACTGAACTAGAACTGAACTAGAACTGAACTAGAACTGAACTAGAACTGAACTAGAACTGAACTAGAACTGAACTAGAACTGAACTAGAACTGAACTAGAACTGAACTAGAACTGAACTAGAACTGAACTAGAACTGAACTAGAACTGAACTAGAACTGAACTAGAACTGAACTAGAACTGAACTAGAACTGAACTAGAACTGAACTAGAACTGAACTAGAACTGAACTAGAACTGAACTAGAACTGAACTAGAACTGAAACTAGAACTGAACTAGAACTGAACTAGAACTGAACTAGAACTGAACTAGAACTGAACTAGAACTGAACTAGAACTGAACTAGAACTGAACTAGAACTGAACTAGAACTGAACTAGAACTGAACTAGAACTGAACTAGAACTGAACTAGAACTGAACTAGAACTGAAACTAGAACTGAACTAGAGCTGAACTAGAACTGAACTAGAACTGAACTAGAGCTAAACTAGAACTGAACTAGAACTGAACTAGAACTGAACTAGAACTGAACTAGAACTGAACTAGAACTGAACTAGAACTGAACTAGAACTGAACTAGAACTGAACTAGAACTGAACTAGAACTGAACTAGAAGTGAACTAGAACTGAACTAGAACTGAACTAGAACTAGAACTGAACTGAACTGAACTAGAACTAGAACTGAACTAGAACTGAACTAGAACTGAACTAGAACTGAACTAGAACTGAACTAGAACTGAACTAGAACTGAACTAGAACTGAACTAGAACTGAACTAGAACTGAACTAGAACTGAACTAGAACTGAACTAGAACTGAACTAGAACTGAACTAGAACTGAACTAGAACTGAACTAGAACTGAACTAGAACTGAACTAGAACTGAACTAGAACTGAACTAGAACTGAACTAGAACTGAACTAGAACTGAACTAGAACTGAACTAGAGAACTGAACTAGAACTGAACTAGAACTGAACTAGAACTGAACTAGAACTGAACTAGAACTGAACTAGAACTGAACTAGAACTGAACTAGAACTGAACTAGAACTGAACTAGAACTGAACTAGAACTGAACTAGAACTGAACTAGAACTGAACTAGAACTGAACAAGAACTGAACTAGAACTGAACTGGAACTCAAGTAGTTAGTTAGTTGTTAGTTAGTTAATTTGTAGGTAGTAGTTAGTTAGTTAGTTAGTTAGTTAGTTAGTTAGTTAGTTAGTTAGTTAGTTAGTTAGTAGTTAGTTAGTTAGTTAGTTAGTTAGTTAGTTAGTTAGTTAGTTAGTAGGTAGTTAGTTAGTTAGTTAGTTAGTTAGTTAGTTAGTTAGTTAGTTAGTTAGTTAGTTAGTTAGTTAGTTAGTTAGTTAGTTAGTTAGTTAGTTAGTTAGTTAGTTAGTTAAGTATAGTTAGTTAGTTTAGTAGTTAGTTAGTTAGTTAGTTAGTTAGTTAGTTAGTTAGTTAGTTAGTTAGTTAGTTAGTTAGTTAGTTAGTTAGTAGTTAGTTAGTTAGTTAGTTAGTAGTTAGTAGTTAGTTAGTTAGTTAGTTAGTTAGTTAGAGTTAGTTAGTTAGTAGTTAGTTAGTTAGTTAGTAGTTAGTTTAGTTAGTTAGTAGTTAGTTAGTTAGTAGTTAGTTAGTTAGTAGTAGTAGTTAGTTAGTTAGTTAGTTAGTTAGTTAGTAGTTAGTTAGTTAGTTAGTTAGTTAGTTAGTTCTTTCATATAAAGACTGCTGAAAATACGATCGTTAACATGATCATGCAATTATTTCAAATTATGACATGCCTATTTGTCATGTGCTTGATTATCGGAAAGTACTCCTTAAATAAGATTTTTTGTTAATTTATTCCATATCAACATATTTGTATTACTTTTTTCTTCATGCTGTTGGTGCAACATCCAAACTGTTGCCAATAAAATGTTTATATCTACATATAAATGAAAAAATTAATTTAATTTTTTCACCTATTTTTTTCACATATTTTTTAAATTTTCTGATAAATTTTGTGGGCGTAACTGTTAATCGATTTTGTTTAAATTTAGTTTGGTTTTTTTTTCATTTTTTCATATTTGTATCATAAATATTAATCAATCACATAAAATTTTTTGAAAGTTGTTTAAATTATATTTATTATTTATTTTTAACACATTTTTATTAAGTTCTTTTATTATTTTTTTTGTTAAAATTTATGTCTAACCATTTGAAATTAGTTCAATTGGCATAAATTTATTCATAAATTTTTTATGTTTATTTTTCATAATTCGTTTTTTTATAGTTTTTTTCTAGTTTTGGAGTTGAACTTTTTCATCAAACTTGTTAAATCCAAAAAAAAATAAGGTGAGTTTATTTATCATTTTTTAAGTAAATATGTTGACATTTGTGTCAATTGTGGTTAGTAGTAGGGGAGAGATATGCTACGTGGGGTATTGGTAGAAGCTTTAGGATTCTTAAATTCTGAATGTCCGTCCTAATATTGGACGAATATCTCTTTCATTTATGGGCATAAATCTTAACTTTTCAAATGGAAATTGAGAAAAACTCTCTCAATGGAATGGTTTTATAAAGAAAACTGTTCCCAGAAAATACATTTCTAAAACTATTATTTTCTTTTCAAAGAAAACTAGTCTCAGTGAATCGAACTGTTGTTGGCCTAATCCTACTGTTTTGTCACCTACATACACACTTCCAATCAATTTCCGCTATTAACACTTATCAGTTATTTTTCTAATTTCAACCTAAAACTAAATCGAAAACACGTAAATTTTAATTTATGTTTCACCTTCTGCTAAAACTTGTCGTACATTTCTTGTAAAATATTTTCCTTTAAATACTCATAAATAACATTTAATTAAAAACACTGAAATTTAAAGCCATAGTTAACGAAATTATTAAATATTTATTTACAACACAACAAAAACAACAAGAACAAGAACAAACAAGTAACAAAAACTACTTATTAGTAATAATAATGTTTAATAGACACTTACTTGCGTCTCAGACTCGTAAGATAAATTAAAGTTTTATTGTAAATAAGAATTAAATATTTATGATACGACAACTTATTTATAATTTACTTGTATTTAATGTTGCTGCTGCTGCTAATGCCATTGCTGCTGCAGACTCCGTTACAAGTACAGAGATTAAAGACATGACAAAATAAATTGAAACATTTAAAAGTAATAGAATTATAAATAATATATTGAAAAAAAAAAAACAACGAGTGAAGGTGTTTAATATTATTAGAAATTTTATAAATATCTCTTATGTTAGACATAAAGTGTTTAAACTACCCTCGTATATGTTTAAAATAATATTCTTGTTTAAATAGCTAAATCTAAGGTTGAACATAATCATGTTAGCATTAATTACAGTATTTTTACATTATAGTGTTACCAAATGGAAACCATTTAAAGAGAATTACAAGTTATTTGCAATAATTTAATATTACGTGCAAATGGAGTTTTCTTAAATTGCATTAATTTTAATGATGTAATTTGTTTAATAATAAATTTATTCAATTATTTTGTTCTTTTTATGGCAAAAAATTCTCTTTTTATACAAATTTTTCTGAAAATTTCTTTTATTTATAGATAATTTTTTTAAAAAATATTTATAAATTTCTCATATTCAAACTACTCACTGGGATCTCTCATTTCTCAATTTCTATTGTTTTATAGAAAATTTTTGATAATTTCTTTTTTGTAGAAAATTTTTTGAAAATGTATCTTTATTTATTGGCAATTTTTGAAAATTTCTCTTCTTTTATAGAAACACTAGCTTTACCCAGTGTGCTTTGCTACCCTAAAAGCAATATAAATAAAAAACCCGCTTAACAATTTTGAAGATTCTAACTGCAATAGTTCTCTAGATTTACAATATGTTACATATTAGTGATGCCAAGCAAATTACTGAAAGTTCGCCAATTTCTATCTTTTTCCTCCAAAATATTCAGATGATTATTGAAGCAATTTCTGCAAAATTTGAAGAATCTAGTTCTATTAGTTTCCCAGATAAACGAAATTTTATATTTAAGTCATATGGGAGTTGTCAAGTTCCCCATTGAAAGTCCGCCCGTTATACTCTAATTGTTCAGATGAATGTCAAAGTTTTTCAAGTAAAATTTGAAGATTCTAGCTCTAATAGTTTCTAAGATATACGATTTTTTCTAATTAATTCATATGAGGGCTCCACGCCCCCATATGAAAGTCCGCTCGTTTTCCCCCAAAAAGTTCAGTTGAATATTTGAAGAATCTAGTTCTATTAGTTTCCCAGATAAACGAAATTTTGTATTTAATTAATATGGGAGGTACCAAGTCCCCCATTGAAAGTCCGCCCGTTATACTCTAATCGTTAAGATGAATGTCAAAGCTCTTCAAGTAAAATTTGAAGATTCTAGCTCTAATAGTTTCTCAGATATACGAATTTTTCTATTTAATTCATATGGGGGCTCCAAGCCCCCCCAGATGGAAGTCCGATCTTTTTCATCCAAAATGTTCAGACGAATATTTAAGTTCTTAGTGCTAAAGTTGAAGAATTTAGTTTTATTAGTTTCCCAGATAAACGAATTTTTGCATTTAATTAATATGGGAGGTGCCGCTCCCCTCATGGGTAGTCCGCCAATTTATTTCCCAAAATGTTAACATGGATGTTAAAGTTATTTGTGCAAAATTTTAAGATTCTAACTGTAATTGTTTCTAAGATAAACGAATTTTTGTTTTTAATATATATGGGAGGTGCCACGCCCCCTAATGCTAGTCCGCCTACTTTTTGTCCTAAATAATCATATTGACACTAAAGTGGCTCCGACAAAATTTGAGGACTCTAACTGTTATATTATCTCAAATATACGAATTTAATATTTTCTAATATGGGCGTGGCACCTCGCCCATTTGAAATTTCAAAATAAAAAGTAGCCTATTACCTATTCCAGACAGTTTGTAGTCTATAACGTTCAAACATACAAACATACAAACATACAAACAAACACACATTCATTTTTATATATATAGATTTTTAAAATTTCTCTTCTTTTATAGAAAAATTTTTGAAATTCCTATTTTTTATAGAAAATTTTTGAAAAATTCTCTTTTTTATATATATTTTTTTGTTTTTATAAAATTTTTTTGAAATTTGCTCCTTTTTATAGGAAATTTTTAAAAATTTCTCTTTTTTATAGAAAATTCTTGAAAATTTCTCTTTTTTATAGAAAAATCTTGAACATTTCTTTTTTTTATAGAAAATTCTTGAAAATTTCTCTTTATTATATAGAAAATTTCCTTTTTTATACAAAATTTTTTTAAAATTCACTTTTAAAAATTTTTTTTAATAAAACATTTTTTTAAATATCTCTTTTTTCACAGAAAATTTCGTAAAATTCTCTTTTGATAGAAAATTCGGAAAAAACTCTTAGTTTAGAAAAATTTCGGAAAAATTCACTTTTGATAGAAACATTTTGGAAAACACTCTTTTGATAGGAAATTCGAAAAGTTCTCTTTGTTTAGAAAAATTTCGGAAAATTCTCTTTTGATAGAAAGTTCGGAAAATAGTCTTTGTTTAGAAAAATTTCGGAAAAATTCTCTTTTGATAGAAAAATTTCGGAAATTCTCTTTGTATAGAAAAATTTCGAAGAAATTATCTTTTTATAGAAAAAATTCGGAAAATTCTCATTGTATAGAACACTTTCGGAAAGATTCCCTTTTGATAGAAGATTTTCGGAAAAATTCTCTTTTTATAAAAAACTTCGGAAAATTTTCCTTGTAAAGAATAATTCGAGAAAATTCTCTTGTTATAGAAAATTTTTGGAAAAATTCTCTTTTTATAGAAAAATTTCGCAAAAATTCACTTTGCATAGAAAAATTTCGAGAAAATTCTTTTGTTATAGAAAAATTTTGGAAAAATTCTCTTTTTATAGAAAAATTTCGGAAAAATTCTCTTTTGATAGAAATATTTCGGAAAAATTCTCTTTTGCTAGAAAAATTTCAGAAAAATTCTCTTTTGATAAAAAAATTTCGGAAAAATTCTCTTTTTATAGAAAAATTTCGGAAAAATTCTCTTTTTATAGAAAATTTTCAAAAAATTCTCTTTTGATAGAAAAATTTCGGAAAAATTCACTTTAGATAGAAATGTTTCGGAAAAATTATCTTTTGCTAAAAAAATTTCTGAAAAATTATCTTATGATAAAGAAATTTTGGAAAAATTTTCTTTTTATAGAAAAATTTCGGAAAATTCTCTTTTGATAAAAACATTTCGGAAAAATTCTCTTTTGATAAAAAAAATGACGAAAAATTCTCTTTTGATAAAAAATGTCGTTAAAATTCTCTTTTGATAAAAAAACTTCGGAAAAATACTCTTTGATAAAAAACTTTCGGAAAAATTCTCTAATAGAAAATTTTCGGAAAATTCTCTTTTGATAGAAAATTTACGGAAAAAAACTATCTTTATAGAAAATTTTGGGAAAATTTTTCTTTAAAAAAGAAATTTGTGAAAAAATACCTTTTTAAAGAAACATTTGCAATAAAGAAAAATTTAAAAAAAATTATCTTTTTAAAGAAAACTTTCGGAAAAATTCTTTTCTGATAGAAAATTTTGGAAAAATTCTCTTTTGATAGCAAATTTTCGAAAAAAAAAAAATGTTTATATACAATTTTCGGAAAAATTCTCTTTAAAAAAAAAATTTGCGAAAAATCCCTTTTTAAAGAAACATTTGTAATAAAATATACCATTTAAAAAAACATTTTTCAAAAATTCTGTATTTTTATAAGAAGAAAACCGTTTTTCTATTAAAAATGTTCGCAAATTTCAATTTTCGAAAATAAATTTTTTTATGGCAACTCTTTTATAACTAATAAGTTCATACCTTTAAAAAAACTTTTTTGTGTAAACAAAAACATAAATAAAGTATCAAAACATACCAAGTATGGTCACGGGTTATAACAGCTTTCGGATTTATACATATCAACATATAAATTTATGTATGTACTTATAAACATTGCTGCCAAGTGGAAAATTCCAAAATCAAATCAATTAAAACGAAAAAAATAATATAAATAAAAAAACTTCAATGTCACTGGTCACTTTACTAACAGAACTGCTGCTAATTTAAGAATATAATCAATAAATTTGAAAAAAAAATAACAGAAAAAAAAAAACGCTAAAACACTTTCACAGTTTATGCTCGTTATAATACAAACTTGTAGTAAAAAAAATAACACCAACTATGCTTAAAGCTACATAATTTTGTTGCTGAGTGGAAATATATACTAAAGCTGTTGTTGTTGACGTAGTAGTTGGTGTAACATATTGACGCCACAAAAACCAAAATCAACCCAACATAGTAA